TGGGTTCAGGCAATTCTCCTGCCTCAGCCTCCTGAGTAGCTGGGATTACAGGCACGCGCCACCATGCCCAGCTAATTTTTTGTAGTTTTAGTAGAGACGGGGTTTCACCATGTTGACCGGGATGGTCTTGATCTCTTGACCTCGTGATCCACCCGCCTCGGCCTCCCAAAGTGCTGGGATTACAGGCTTGGGCCACCGCGCCCGGCCAAAATTTACCGTCTTAAATCTATTGAGGTGTACATTTTATGCCCAGGCATGGTGGTGGCTCACATTTGTAATTCTTGGATTTTGGGAGGCTAAGACAGGAGAATCTCTTGAGCCCAAAATGTTGAGACCAGCTTGGGAAAGATATAAAGATTTTCTCTTTACCAAAAAATGTTAAAAATAGCCAAGCATGGTGGTGTGCACCTGTCGTCCCAGCTACTTGGCAGATTGAGCGGGGAGGATTATTTGAGACTAAGAGTTTGAGACTAAAGTGAAACATATTCGTGTCACTGCATTCCAGCTTGGGTGACAGAGTGCGACCTTGTCTGAAAAAAAGCTGTACATTTCAGACATGTTAAGTATATTCACATTGTTATGCAAAAGACTTCTAGAATTTGAACATCTTGTGAAATTAAAACTCAATACCCGTTTTACCCTCTGTGCAGCCCTTGACAAACACACCCTTCTACTTTCTTTTCTTTTTTTTTTTTTTTTGAGATGGAGTTTCGTTCTTGTCACCCATGCCATGCTGGAGTGCAAATGGCACGATCTTGGCACACTGCAACCTCTGCCTCCTAGGTTCAAGCGATTCTCCTGCCTCAGCCTCCCAAGTAGCTGGGATTACAGGCGCCACCACCACGCCCAGCTAATTTTTACCCTTTTTCTTAGAGACAGGGTTTCACCATGTTGGCCAGGCTAGTCTTGAACTGCTGACCTCAGGTGACCTAAACATCGTGGCCTCCCAAAGTGCTAGGATTACAGGCATGAGCCATTTGCATCCAGGCTTTGTGTATCTTTTTTGATAAAAATTAGTCAATTATTGCTATTTCTAAAACAAGTTATTATTCAACTTTATTGTTTAAAGAGTTGTTCATATATTGTGAATATTAACTCCTATCACATGTGATTTGCAAATATTTTTACCAGTGTCCTTTATTTTATTTTTTAAATTCTTTTTCTTATTTTTACCAGTGTCCTAAGAGGGATTGTCACCTATTGAATATTTTCTTTGATGTGTAAAAATTTTGATATATACTGCAGTTAAGTGTTTCTTTTTTGTTTGTTTGTTTGTTTTTAAAATTGAGACAAAGTCTTGCTCTGTTGCCCAGGCTGCAGTGCAGTGGTGCTATGCAGCAGTGCAGTGCAGAGTTGGCCCACTGCAACCTCTGCCTCCCTGGCTCAAGCAATTCTCCTGCCCCAGCCTCCCAAGTAGCTGGGATTGTAGGCATCCACCACCGTACCTCGCTAATTTTTGTATTTTTGGTAGAGACAGGTTTTGTCATGTTGGCCAGCCTCAACATTATTTCTTGAGGAGGTTATCTTTTGTCTATTCTGTGTTCATGGCAACTTTGTGGAGGGTGATTTGATCATATACAGAAGAGTCCATTTGTAGGTTCTCCAGTCTACTCTTTCATCTGTTTATCTGTCTTTGTGTCAGTACCACATTGTTTTTGTTATTGTAGCTTTTAATATGTTTTGAAATTAGAAAGTATAATGCCTCTATGTTCCTTTTTTTTTTTTTTTTTGAGAGAGAGTCTCACTGTGTCGTTCAGGCTGGAGTGCAGTGGTACGATCTCAGCTCTGCCTCCTGGGATGATTCTCCTACCTCAGCCTCATGAGTAGCTGGGATTACACACACCCACCACCACGCCTGGTTAATTTTTATATTTTTAGTAGAGGTGGGGTTTCTCCTTGTTGGCCAGGCCGGTCTCAAACTCCTGACCTCAAGCAATCCACCCATCTCAGCCTCCCAAAGTACTGGCAATTACAGGCATGAACCACCACATCTGGCCCTCATTGTTCCTTTATATGGGTGTTTGGCTATAGTTTAAAATCAAATTTTAAAATTCTAAACATTTTTTTCTGTAAAAAAAAAAAAAATCTATGCTGTTGGGATTGTTATAGAGATTATATTGAATTTGTTCACCATGGTAATTTGTATTGACATCTTTGAAAAATTAAATTTTTTGACCCCTGAGCAAGAAAATGTTGAAGAGTGTGTTTAATTTTTATATATATTTTGATCTGCCAGTTTTACTTTTGCTCTTAATTTTTAGTTTCATTCAGTTTTTCTCAGAAAACTAAATAATTTTGATCTTAAATTTGTTGTTGTTTTGGGACTCTGTCACCCAGAGTAAGATCCTGTCCCAAAGGAGTGCAGTGGCATGATATTGGCTCAATGCGTCCTCAGCCTCCTAGACTAAGGCGATTCTTCCACCTCATTCTCCCAAATAGCTGAAACTACAGACGTGCACTACCATGTCTGGCTGATTTTTTGAGTATCGTAGGGACAGGGTGTCACTATGTTGCCCAGGTTGGTCTCAAACTTCTGGCCACAAGTGATCCTCCTACCTTGGTCTGCCAAAATATTGAGATTATTGGCATGAGCCACTGCAGCCAGCTGGTATTCCTAAATTTAATAAGACTTGGTATATGTCCTAACAGTATATACCAGGTGCAAATTATAATACTGTGCTTTTTACTGGAGAGGATCTCTTGCTTTTGACTAGAAAGGTTTGTATGAGTCAGTTAAGCCTTGTTGGTCAATACGATTTGGATGTTCATGTTCTCAAAACGTGGACTGGCTGGCTCATTTTATTTTGCATAATGTCACTGAGTTCTAACTTTATAGTTGTTAGAATATTTCCTGCGTTTTAAAACTTGGATGATATTTTAGTATTTTTATTTTTCAAATTATATATACTGAATAATTTGGTGACAAATTTGTTTGCATCTCCTATCGGCTTTAGTAACAATGTTGCAATAATTGTGGATATGCAAGTCATTCTACATCACCATACATGGAAAAGTGTATATATGTGCCGCGTTCTATTTGATTAGTCCACTTTTTCACCTTGATCCTCCTACCAATTTGTTTTAATTCTGTAGCTTTTTAATGTGTTTCGAAATTAGGAACTATAATGCCACTAACATTGTTCCCCTTTTTGAAGATTTTTGTGTACGTTGTTGTCTCTTGAGATTCACTGTGCTCTTTGGGTTGCTGTTTCAATCTCTTCAAAAATGCAATGACAATTTTGAAAAACACTGCATTAAATTTGTAGATTACATAGAGCAGTATGGACAGTTTTACAATAGTAATCATTTTAACCTTTGAACAAGAGCATACTCAAGAGCGTGTTCCTTAATTTCTATATATTTGCAAAATTTTCAGCTTTTTCTATTATTATTTTATACTCTTAATCCATTTTGGTCATAGAAAGTAATCCATAAAATTTCAGTTTAAAAAATTTTGTTGACTTTTTTTTTTTTTTTGGTCTAACAAGTGATCTATCAAGGAGAATATTGTATGAGCTATTGAGAAGGGTGTATATCCTGATGTTGTTGAAAATAATTGCCATTAAGTCCTCTGTTTCCTTACTAGTATTCTGTCTTGTTTTATTGTTGTTACAAAAAGTGGAGTATTGAA